TGGGTCAGTGTCCCCTCCCCCCATCGCTGTGGGTCTGTACCCTCTCCTGGTGGGTCAGTGTCCCCTCCCCCCATCGCTTTGGGCCTGTACCGTCTCCCTGTGGGTCAGTGTCCCCTCCCCCCATCGCTGTAGGTCTGTATCCTCTCCCTGTGGGTCAGTGTCCCCTCCCCCCATCGCTGTAGGTCTGTACCCTCTCCCTGTGGGTCAGTGCTGCCTACCCCTCATCCCTGTGGGTCTGTACCCTCTCCCTATGGGACAATGCCCCCCCCAGTCCCGTCCCTGTGGGTCAGTGAACACTCACTTCCTGGGGGTCAGTGCACCCCTGTGTGTGGGATCGTGCTGTGCGGCGTTGGTGAGGGGAAGGTCACAAAGACACTGAGCCCTGGATGGTAAACACCAATTGTCTTTATTGGACATTGAACAGGAGACAGTGAGACACACAGAGAGAGAGAGAGAGAGAGAGATGGCACAGGCTGGGAGATTGCATCCCGCTCTCAGACCGACGGAGGGAGTTTCATCAAACACAGACTGATCATTTCCCGGGAACAGGAGACATCCCGGAATTCCTGCCTCTCTGTGGGAGGGTGGGGAGAGTGTTACCCTCCCCGCACCTTGTGTACCACCAGCAGGTCAGTGAGCCCTCGGAGGTTAAAATCCCGCAGCACCTTGCCATCCTGCAGGGTCTGGTTGTTGATGTACAGGATCTGGCTCTTTGCTGGGATCCCGGTCTGCAGGAAAATCTTCTCCTTCAGTTCCTGGACGGTGCTGTCGGAGCGGGCGCTCAGGAGGGCATTCTGCCCATTACAGCCCATCAGACGGAGCTGGCAGGAGCTGCTGGGGGCCGGGGGCTCGGGTTTCTGTACTGCCAGGTGGGTACTATTGAGGGGCTTTGCCTGTGGAGAAGCAGGTTTTGCAATAACAGGGGGCTTCAGCTCCTGGACCTTGTTCTGTGGGTATGAAACAGAGACAGTGAACAGCTCACTTTGTGATTTATATACAAAATAAAACATAAACTTACTTTGTCACCATGCACAGCACAGTGTTACTTTTTAAAGATGAGTGAGAGAGACATCGAGTCTGAGCGGCACAAGGAATGTTTCGCTTTGAGGAAATTCTGCCTGGCAACAGCCCTCATATTGGTGCAGCTGCCAGGGGGTTCTGAGCTGTAAGTGCCGAGAGCAATGGGGGGCATGACAAAATCCTCCAGAGCCTGCAGGCACACAGCATACACCTCTCTCTCTCCTTTCTCACTCACTCTCTCTCTCTCTCACACAGTCTGTCTCCCTCCCTCTGTATCTCTCTCTCACTCCACCCCTCCAACTCTCCCTCACTGCATGTGCAGGAAGCCTGACTGATACAACACTGTTACACACTCACACACTCACACACACTCATTTATACACACACACTCACACACACACACACACACACTCACTCACATACACACACAGTGACACACGCACACTCACACACATACTCACTCAAACACACACACACACACACTCAGATGCTCACGCATACACTCATTCACACTCACAAACACATTGACACACACACACACATACACACACACACTCACTCACACACACTCACATGCATACTGAGACACACACACACTCACACACACTGACACACACACACACTCACACACACACACACACACACTCAATCACATACACACACACACACACTCAGATGCTCATGCACACACTCATTCACACTCACAAACACATTGACACACATACACTCACACACACACTCTCTCTCACACACACTCTGACACACACACTGACACACACACACTCACACACTCTCACAGACACAAACAGACATATACACATACACACAGACACATACAGGCACACGCACACACACACAGACACACACACACACACACACACACACACATATTGAGATACATGCAGACAGTCAGAGATGCCACCACCCGCCGGCTGTGATTGGACAGAATTTGAGAGAGAGAGAGAGAAAGAGAGTGATGGAGAGACAGAGAGAGAGAGAGGGAGAGAAGGGGAGTGACATAGTTGGGAATCTCTGCTTCTTCCTGAGCTCAGACCCATTGATCCCGTCCAGCAGAGTCTGATCTTGTTGTTAATCCAACCACAGACACATGAAGAGGCCATTCTGCCCCTCTGGTCAGTGCTGACAGATCAACCCATCTGACAGCAATCTCCCTCTACATCAGCACTGCCCCACCCCCACCCAGCTCCCTGTAAACACTGCCCCTTTGGTTAGTCTGAAAGCCCAATTCCACCCTCTAGATTGAAACCCCCCACCCCCACCACTGCCCTCTGGGGTGGTCCCTCCTGATCACAACGACTCACTGCCTCAGAATTGAACACCCTCCCATCCAACCAAACCCTCCCCTCCCTCAGTGAGACAGCCTCCTGCCTCCGGGAATAGATCTACTCGCCCCACCCCCATTTTGAATCCAAACCCACTCTGTGATTCCGAGACCCCGTCCCCTCCTTGACCCGGTCCCTCCTTGCTCTGGGGGAGGGGGTGGTAAAGGATGGGGACAGGGGAAAACTCTTGCAGCCCCTCACAGACCCTTCCCTGTCCCCACGTTCCTGATCCCCCTCCCCTCCTGCTTTAACCTGGCCACAGAATTGGACAGCACCCCGGCCCAGATCAAACTGGTGACCATGCAGAAAAGACTTACAAGGATGTTGCCGGGGTTGGAGGGTTTGAGATACAGGGAGAAGCTGAATAGACTGGGGCTATTTTCCTGGAGCATCGGAGGCTGAAGGACGACTTTACAGAGGTTTATAAAATCATGAGGATCATGGATAAGGTGAAAAACCAAGGTCTTTTTCCCAGGGAAACTAGAGGGTATAGGTTTAAGGTGAGAGGGGAAAGATTTAAAAGGGACCTAAGGGGCAACTTTTTCACACAGAGGGTGGTGCATGTATGGAATGAGCTGCCAGAGGAAGTGGTGGAGGCTGGTACAATTCCAACATTTAAATGACATTTCGATAAGGACACGAACAGGAAAGGTTTGGAACGATATGGGCCAAATGCAGGCAAACGGGTCGAGAGTAGTTTGGGAAACTGATCAGCATGAACAAGTTGGACTGAAGGGTCTGTTTCCACGCTGCATGCCTCTGTGACAGAATTCTCCAGGACAAACCAACATCAGAGAGATTGAGGCACCATAACCTGATCCCTTACCGAACCTCAGAGACTGTGACGGGGCGTGAGGGAAGTTTAAGACAAGATTAAAGACCGGCAGAGGTTGGAAATCTGAAAGAGAAACAGAGAGTGTTGGAAAAACACAGCAGGACTGGCAGTGTCTGTGGAGAGACAGGGCACAGAGTTCATGTTTTCAGTCTGATCTGACTCTTCTTCAGAAGCAGTTCTTGGCTGGAGGCTGGTACTTACCCGAGTGCTCTGGAAATCAATGAGAAAGCTGAGAAGCTGCGCGGCCATGGTGCTGGTCATTATCACTGACGGAGATCGGTGTCAGTCAGGCTTTATATTCAGCGTGGGGACGGGGATATCCCACACAGTTCATTTCTCCGAAATCTGTCAATGTGAAACTGAAAGCACAGAATATGTGTGTGTGTGTGTGTGTGTGTGACAGAAAGAAAGGGTGTGTCTATGTGCATGTGTGCGTGTGTGTGTGTGTGTGTGCATGTGTGTGTGGCTGTGTGTTTGTGAGTGTGTGTGTATCTGTGTGTGTGTGTCTGTGTCTGTATGTGTGTGTATGTGTCTGTGTGTGTGAATGTGTGTATATCTGTGTGTCTTGTATGTGTGTATGTGTCTGTGTGTGTGAATGTGTGTATATGTGTGTCGTGTGTGTGTGTGTGTGTGTGTGCGTGTGTCTATGTGAGGATGTGTCTGTGTGTGTATCTGTGTGAGTGTGTGTGTCTGTGTCTGTATGTGTGTGTGTGAGTATGTGTCTCTGTGTGTGAATGTATGTGTATATCTGTGTGTCTGTGTGTGTGTCTGTGTGAGGATGTGTGTGAGGGTGTGTGTGTGTATCTGTGTGTATGTATTTCTGTGTGAGGATGTGTGTGGCTGTATACCTGTGTGTGTGAGTGTGTGTGTGTGTGTGCGTATCTGTGTACCTGTGTGTTGAGCGTGTGAGGATGTGTGCGAGTGTAAGTTTGCATGTGTGTGTGTGTGTGTGTGTCTGTGTACCTGTGTGTGTGAATGTGTTAGGATGTGTGTGTGTGTGTGTCTGTGTATGTGTGTGTCTGAGCGTGAGTGTGTGTGTCTGTGGATGACACACAGTTTGTCCGGGGGGGTGACAGAAAGGGGGAAGGTGTAATGTTACAGGAGGATAGAAACGGGTTGGTCAGATGGGCCGATCAGTGGCAGAAGGAGTTTAACCGTGAGGAATAGGAGATGATATACTTTGGAAGCAGGAATAAGACAAGGAAGAACTCAGTGAATGGCAGGACACTGGGAAGCTCAGAGGGACAGAGGGATCTTGGGGTGTTAGCCCACAGATTCCTGAGGGTGGTAGAGCAGGCTAATGCGGGAGTTAGGGAGGAATATGGGACATGGCTGTGGTACAGATTGTAAGAGCAGGGAGGTGATGGAGTTGTACAAGGCTTTGGTGAGGCCCCAGCTGGAGCGCTGTGTGCAGCTCTGGTGCCCACACTGTAGGAAGGATGGGATTGTACTGGACAGGGAGTAGAGGGAGATTCCCGGGATGCTGCCCTGGGAAGGAACATTTCAGCGACAGAGAGGGGGAGCCTGGATAAGCTCGGGCTGTTTTATTTGGAGCAGGGAAGGCGAAGGGTTTGGGGGCGTCCCGATAGAGGGGGGTAAGGTTCTGAGGGCCATGGACAGGGGTGATAGGAAGCATCTGTTCCCAACAGTCAAATGGTCAGTAACAAGTTTGGGGGGCGTGGTGCCATTTTAAAGTGAAAGGCAGGAGGGTGAGAGGGGATTTGAAGAAATAATTCTCACCCAGAAAGGTGTGTGGGTACTGATGGGAGGGCGAATTGGGGGCAGAAACATTTTAAAAGAGCTGGGACATGCACTTGATGTGTCACTAATTAAGGCTATGGGCCTAGTGAGGGACTGCGGAGATGGAGTAGGCAGACGAGTATTTTCACAGGTACAGACTCAATGGGCCGAAGGGCCTCTTCTGTACTGTGTGATTTGAGGATTCTGTTCCTCGAGCAGTGGGGAGTTGGGCCCAGCGCCAAGATCGGCTAAACACCTCAGGGAGAGCAACGTCTGGCACACAAATACAGAGAGAGAGGGACTGAGACACAGAGAAAGAGAGAAAGGGGCAGAAAGTGAGGGGGTACTAGGGAGGGGGAGGGAGGGTGAGAAATAGAGAGGGAGCGTGATACAAGGAGGAAGAGAGGCCAGACAGACAGAGAGGAAGAGGAGAGAGATACAGAGAGAGATGGTACGGGGAGAAAGAGAGACAGAAAGAGTGAGGGAGACAGAGATTCAGAAAGAGCGGTGGGGGGGGGGCGGGGAGAGAGAGAGACTGAGAGACAGAGAAGGGGAGAGAGAGATGAAAGAGAGAGGGAGGGAGAGAGAGAGACAGAGAGCGAGACTGAGAGGGGAATCAGGGAGAGAGAAAGAGATGAGAGAGAGAGAGAGACTCAGAGAGAGAGAGAAGGGGGGAGAGAGAGAGAAGAGGGAAAAAGAGAGAGAAACAGAAATACAGAGAGATAGGGAGAGAGAGACTGAGACACAAAGGGGCAGAAAATGAGGGAGTACGAGGGAGGAGGAAGGAGGGTGAGAAATAGAGAGAGAGAGTGATACAAGGAGGAAAAGAGGCTGAAAGGGAGACAGAGAGGGAGTGGAGAGAGGGTGTACATAGAGATACAGAGAGAGATGGTAGGGGGAAAGAGAGAGTGAGAGCAGCAGACAGATGGAGAGAGAGGGGGAGATGGAGACAGTGAGATTGTTACAGATACAGAGAATGAGGTGCAGAGAAGCTGATAGAGACAGTGAAAGAGAGGGAGTGATAAAAGCAGGGAGGGATTGAATGAGGATAGAGACAGTGTGAGCAGAGTGTGGGAACAGTCTCCTCCTCTCAGGTTTCTCTCCTTTTTTTCAATCAGTTCTTTCAGTAAAACTTTCTGAATGCAGAGGGACAGGGCTGAGCAGGGTGCAGCCAATAAGAAAGCAGACATTACAGGTTGCGTACCCTGTATCCGGGCAGATTGGAGATGTTCAGGTTAGGAATGGATGGACCGTAATGACTGGACTATAAGGGACAGTTGGATTTCCCGATGGCAGCTGGAGTGGTACAGGGTTAGATACAGAGTAAAGCTCCCTCTACGCTGTCCCCCATCAAACCCTCCCAGGGACAGGGACAGCACCGGGTTAGATACAGAGTAAAGCTCCCTCTACACTGACCCCCATCAAACACTCCCACGACAGGGACAGCATGGGATTAGATACAGAGTAAAGCTCTCTCTACACTGACCCCCCATGAAACGCTCCCCCAGAGTGACAGTCAGTGGGAGGGAGTGAGGGCAGGAATTTGGTTTGGAAGTGACGGAATCAAAGAAATGTGAAGGCTTTGTTTACAAAGAGGGTGAGGTTTCATGTGGATGGGCTCAGGGCCCTGACAGGGAAACACTGTTTACTGTAAACATCTCTCTGTCACTTCCTTTCACTTTCACAGGGACTGTCACCCAGACTCTGGACCCCAGCACCAACTCTGCAGTAACAGCGTCAGAGACAGAGAGACAGGGAGAGAGACAGAGAGAGAGGGTGGGAGAAAGTGACTGGGAAAGTGACAGAGAGATGGAAGGAGAGAGATAGAGAGAGAAACAGGTGGAGAGAGGGAAGGGGGAGAGACAGAGAGAGAAAGGGAAATCCTGTGATGCTGCTTGGCCTGCTGTGTTCATCCAGCTCTGCACCTTGTTGTCTTGGACACAACATTGGCTTGG